GGCTCTGTTTCGGGATACAAGGTTAATGTAAACAAAACGCAGGTACTGTCTCTAAACTATGATCCACCAGTCGAAATTAATAATCGCTATGAATGGAAATGGGATGCAGATAGCATAGAAGACCTAGGGGTGGTGATATATTATGACTTGACCAAAATGTCCGATGCCAACTATGATCCTCTGAACGAATCCATAAAATCTGATGTACAAAGATGGAGTAGCATTCCTTTTCTGGACCTACACTCTAGGATTGAATGTGTTAGATGCTGAAGGACTTTGTTTCAGTCCCATTCCCATACCACAAAAACAATTTGTGGAGTGGGATAAAATGCTGTCAAAATACATGTGGAAAAGGGGAAAGCCACAGTTTAATATAAAAGGAGGTCGTGGACTTGCTTGTCTACAAGAGTATTACTGTGCAGGTCAGTGAAGACCACTGATATGTCTCTGTTGTCTAGATTACACTGTGGGATGGGAAGATGTTGAAGGAACAACTGTTAAAGGAAAATCAGTTACAGCTTTAATATCGGACCAAAAACTGCAGAACAAAATGCACATGGCAGATGAACCCATGTTACAGGTAATGGTATCTGCTGGAATGAAGCAATAAAAATGTGTGTTTTGGAAAATGCCTCTAAAGTCTTAAGATGGTGCGCATATAATTCAGACTTTACCCTGAATCAGTGCAATAGTAGATTCAAGAACTGGATTTCAAACTTATTCATTTGTCTACAAAGGGGCATTTTAATGCTTTGAACCATAAGGAGAAAACAGACAATTTTTTCAGATATCTACACAGGTCAGAGATTATTTTAAGCAAAACTTACAAATCATAAAAATGTAAATGATTTACAATTCGTGGAAACATTTTTATCATTAACTAAATCTGGAGTACAAAGTAAAATTATTTCTAGATTATACAACAGCATCCTGGGGTGTAAAAACAACAGGACTGTATTAAAGTGAAGTGGGATAAAGAAGGTAATCTGACAATTACACAGAAGTGTTGGGAAGAGATACACGAGCCACAACTGGGTCAAATGTCTGGCATGAATTTTGCTGGAAAAGCATCATGAGATTCTTCGTCCCCCCTGCTTAGAAAAGGTGTCGGGGAGATGGTGCTAACCATTTCCATATCTTTCAGGCTGGCTGTAGCTCAGGAGGAAGAGCAGGTCAGCTGCTGACTGGAAGGTCAATCCCTGGCTCCCCCAGTTTGCATGTCAGATATCCTTGGGCAACATACTAATCCCAACTTGCTCACTGATGCATCCATCAGAGAATGTGTATGAATGGCAGTGAGAAAGTACAGATAACAGTGCTTGTATGATTGGGTGAATGCAGCACGTTGTATCGAGCGCTTTGAGTATATATATGAGAATCAGGCCTTTTACTTTTGGGACTGCCAAGTTAGTTGCCAATATTGGTGAGATCAGCAGAGCGCATCAGCAGGACTGAACTGGCAGCCATGCAGGATCTCTACAGACAGCGCTGCATGAGGAAGACACAGCGGATCCTCTCTGATCCCAGCCACACACTTTTCACACTCCTGCCGTCTGGCAGGCGGTTCAGGAGCATCCAGACCTGCACTACCAGATACAGATACAGTTTTTACCCACAAGCCATCAGGCTTTTGAACTGCTGACACTGTCTACACACCACTACAATTACAGGACTCTGCACACTGTCACTTCAACTAATGCTACTTAATGCTCCTTGGACAAGTTTTTGCACAAACTGTAAATACCAACAATTGCCTTAAATTATCTAAATATGTAATACTTTAGTATATTGTTTGTTTCTTTCTTAATTATTATTATTACTATTATTTTCCTGTTATTTTCCTCTTAATATAACTGCACACTCTCTATATGCTCATGTATGTATATGTATGTAAGTATGTATATGCTGAGGAGCACGAGCCGGCGAGAGCAGCGGACTCCCGGCTTCATCGTTTTCAGACCCACTGCTGTCTTTCGCTACTCAGGTTAAACATGATATAAGTCACTCGGATAATTGAAAAATGTAATTGTTTGCCTTTTTCTGTGTTTTATTTGTTCCACAGCGACGCGACGAAGGCTGTCCCAATTCAAAGGCTGCTCGAAATGCGGCCCTCAAATGCGTCCTTCATTTCCCTGAATTTTCAGGATGTGGCGGTGTAGACTTCGTGGCCCAACATATCCCAGAATGCATAGCGCGGAGGTGGATGTGGATAATTTTACCGAAAAAACGGCGGATGAGGGGCGCCCGAAGAGTAAACTTTAAGTACTGAATATTATGTCACTTATTTATGTGCAAATGTTTAATAACGAAGAACATTAAAACATTCCTGTTGGCCACATGTCGGCAAAGTCATGTGACATTAGTGACGTTTGTACTAACTTGGTTTTAAAGCCTTTACTTTAAAATATACGCCGTTCAATAGCTGAGCTTAATCAGAGAATGATCAAAGCTCATGTAGAAACAAACAGATGAACAAAAGATTTTCTCCTTCATTTCTGTCAAACAAAGCTGTTTGAAACGTTTCCAGCTGTTAGTATCATGGTTGCTAGGCAACCTGGGCAGCGCAACGGAGGCTAGACCGTCCCATTTCACAAGCCTCGCACTTCCGGCCTAAGCGGTCTTTAAGTATGCGGCCCTTGAGGATCGTTAAGGCTGCAGAGCCTGAATTGGGATACAGCCTCAGTCTTTGAAGGACCCGGCCCACGTAGACCGGGTCCTCCGGAGGATGCAGCCGACGTTTTGGGACACAGCTATTGTCATGGTGCTGGGTCGTTGACCCAGCGTTTTGTGTCGTCCCCCCAGTGCTTTTTTCGTGTCCCTGAGTTTGTGAATTTCCTGTTTTACTTTGAAGGTCTGTGTTGTGTCGTGTCATGTTGTCTTGTGAATTAGGATGAGCTGTGCTTCCCTCCTGTGTGTCATTACCTGATTACCTTGTGTGTGTGTACAGTGGGTGTCGGTCTGTGTTCTTTGTTTGATGGTGTTTTGTTCTTGGTTCTGCGGCGCTCTGCTCTTCATCCCGTTTCATTATAAGTTCATGTTTGCTCATTAGTTTCCCAGTATAGGGTTTGATAGCTTTCCGTTCCTCAGTCCCTGTTTTGCCACTTTGGTCACATATAAACACTCACTCGCACCACAGCTGTTGCATTTTGGGTGCTTTTCTAAAACATCTGGGCCACATAATTCAGTTGGCACTTTATGGTTCTTACACTTCTTTGTGAATCTCTGTGAAATATTCACTATTTTTTGTGAAAACACAATTCATATTTTATTTTGAAGGAGCTTCAGTATATTTAAGTTAAACTATCCTGTGGCTCCAGCTGCTCAGTGTGTCTTTCCTCCATAATCTCCTGTGACAAACTTAGACTCTACTCCTAAACACATTTCAGACGTTAAATAAGAACAGTGTTTCTTTTTGGTCTGTCTGTGACGATCACTGACACTTTGCATTTTTCTGCTTTGAAGCTTCGACTTGTTGAAGGCGTGAGGTATTTTTATTTAAACATGCCTTATAAGGCAAAAATAGTCACTTTATACGAGGTCACACAAAATACTGAGCTAATGAGTATTTGCTTGATACTCATTAGTTAAATGAGTATCAAGCATATAAAACTTATTTTATAAGTATTTATAAAATAAGCTTTATAAATACTTATTTTCAATCAAAATATGAAATAAGTATTTATAAAACCTCTACTAACATCTAAATACAAATAACATGTTATATATGAATCTATTATTTAAGAATAAAAATGTGTATTTAGTTATAACATATTAAGGAAGCACGTATCTTACTGGTGTTTAGGAGTGTGCCATTATTTTGATAGTTCTGAACACCTGTGGTGTCAGTGTTACCTGTTTAATGTAAATACGTTTTATTACAGTAGTGTTAATCAAAGGTTGGCACACCTTCTTTTTACACTGAAGTGTATGGGAACTAAATGTGTTAGACCACAAGAACAGCTAAAACATCACAAAAGTGTTGTGCAGTTTACATCACAGTGTCGGTTACACTGCTTCTCGCCACATGTAGCTCAGTTTGGAAATGCCCTTCTGGGTCTGAGGGTAGTCCTCCGCTCCAGACTGACATTGTTGTCTAGATTGGAGGACTTGTTGAAACATCTTGCTGTAACTAAGGCTGGGATTGATGTAGATATAAAACCTTCTGGTTACCAACAAAAGAACCATAGCAACTGTCCAGGCATGACGACGCTTGTCAGAAGTGTGCGTTTGTGATTTCTCAGAAAACACACCCTGCAGTTAGCATTAGTCAGTGTGTCTGAGGCTATGAAGAAAAGCACACAGTGTATGTTCACCTGGCCTCAGGCTATTGTTTCTTTCTACACAGCGATGATTCAGAGGACAGCACACACAGCAGTTAGGATGGTAACCCTACTGCACAACCCAGGCTGGTCAGCTTTAAACTGGATGGATGACTGGTTGTGTAAAGCGCTTTGGGGTCCTTAGGGAATACAAATACAGTCCATTTACCATTTACAGAGGAGAACTGACCGAGTGACTGCAAGCTGCCATGTCCTGTCCTGGTACTTTAGTCATCATCACCCTTCACTCAAGCCTACATGTTTACAGCCAGAAATGAGAACTAAACACAAAGTAGCAGAGGCACCTGAATTAAGTTGTAGATATTTAATTAAATTAATTAAAAACTTGAATTGCGGTTAAGGGGTTTTGACCATTGTTTGTTTTTATTTTTTCTTGTTTTCGGTTTCCCAAATTCTACAAACACAGAATGCATTTGCTACTTTTAACTGAAGTCAGTTTCATTTATTACTTGATAATTAATAAATATTAATTATTATTATTAACAATAATGTATAAATTAAATGAAAATGAGTAATGACTCCTTTCATTGAGTGTGTGTCTGGCTCTGTGAGTGTGTGTGCTGATTCATGAGTGGAGGGAGTGGTGGTGCAGGGCGTGACTCTGACACACGCTGTGTCACTATCCAGGTGAGAAATGGTTTTTAAGGCAGCGACACGAAGCAGTGCACAACTTTACACAGCAGAGCTGAACTCCCCAGCACAGCTTCTTCTGTGTTTGTTTGCTGACAGCTGCTCCTGTTTCTTCTGGACGTTTTAACAGGAGCAACACAACATGAGAATACTTTTACTACTGGCTGGTGAGATTTCCCATTTTCACTGCTGCTTTATTTCCTGTTCACTGAGTTTGTGATGTTAGCATTCCTACACACCCTGAAATAGAAAGCCTGCAGCTTTTTTATTTACTAACTAAAGAGATGGAAGTAAGCTGTAGCAGTGAACGGTTCAAGATGGTGCATGACAGTCTGTGTCTGAAATCTGTGATGTTAGACATGTTGGTATCTGTCATGAAATCTTGTAAGAAGACACAAACACAGCGTATAACTGCTGTGTCGAGCTGCAGTACATCTTTAAGAATAACCAGGTTATTTATAATTTTACCTGTTCTAAGTAAACCTTAATCAAACATCGATGTGCTTCATGCACATGGTTTCATCTGACCAGTACACAGCTGTGGGTTATGACGGCCTTTGGCCTGAAAGTAGACAGTACGATAGCTGCAGACCATCATCTCTGTTCCTGCTTCTAAAGCAGCATGAGACTCATTTAACAGTTGTATTGTAGGTTACTCTGTATTTTAGATGCATGTTGAACAGCAGTTAATAATAAAGACGTTTCTGAGAGCCTCAGAAAGCTCAGAGTTAGGTGTGTTGTGTTCATACCTGTTCACATTCGTCCCTCCTCCTCACAGCCTCAGCCATACTGTCACATGCCCAAAATGACTGCTCATGGGGGGCATGCTACCCACCCACGGATGACTTGCTCCTTGGCAGGGCTCACCAACTTCAGGCTTCATCTACCTGTGGCCTCACTGGCTCAGAGGTCTTCTGTACCCCGTACCAACAGGTAAGAGCGTGCTTTCCTGTTTGGGCATTTTATCTCTGTGAGCGAAGGGAAAGTTTGTGCCACTGCTCATATCACCCTTTAACAAACAAGTGAGAACTTCCAGGCATATTTGTGTAGCTGAAGGAAACTCCAGCTTAAGAGCGTTTCAGGTAAAATATCCAAAGATTCAGCTTCAGTTTTTGATTTAGAGAAAACAAAGATCGCAAAGAAGAAGCTGTAGCTTCAATACAACAACGTCATATGTGACATTATTATACAAAATCACTCAAAGTGTCTCTGGCTTCCAGAAAACAGGCAAAGAGGAACAGAAATGTACACAAACTAAACCAGTGCAAACCAGACTGATAGAAGAGGTCAGGAGGACCAATGAGATTCATGTGCAACCAGTGAGGGGAGGGAAAGACAATAGCAACCGATCAGAAGTAAAACCAAAGAAAAGACAACACAGACAACACAGAGCGTGTTGGCAGCACAGGACACTGGCACTACAAACACAAAGATAAGAAAATATATACAAATAAACAGAGACATAGGATGTCATGGTGTTACTTCATCTTCATAGATCACAGTATGGGCGATGTTGGATTAGCCTCAGGGAGTTAATAACTGTCTTAGGCGTGGTCCTCTGTTCATCCATTTAAATGTAACCTTGTACTTCAGACGCACACATGACGATGAAAGCCTTCGGCGTCATCAGAGAAAACAAGTCCGATCTAGCCAGGAATGCCACTTCACTGCTGGAGGTGTCAAATTTAGTATCTAATGAAAAAGAGCTGCAGAAGAAGTGTCAAAGCTGAAGGTACTCGAAGCAAAACTCTGCTCACGAACTGCTGAGGAGAAGCAAACACAGAATAAACATACAAGTCCCCACATTTAGCCCAGTAGACCAGGTGTTATCTAATGAAGGATGAGAAAAACTGTGGTTTGTGAAAAGCCCGGCAGAGGGTGGACAGGAGGCCACGATCTTTGTGTAAGTCGAGGTGGAAGAGTGAAGAGGTGAGCACAGTGTGGCATTCACAGACAGCCATCATAGAGGGAACTTTTCATATCAACTCAATAATTCAGGCTCCTCATATTTGTTGCCCCAAAATACAAGAGCTTAGGTAACCCTGGGCCTCTAAGGCTCAGCGGCACAGCCGTAGGAGGCTTCTTGTTCCAAATAACATCCTAAATAAGAAAAAAAGCGAGAAGAAGCAAGATCAGGATGAAGTTAAACATGAAAAGCATGGAAACACATTGATTTAGGTAGTGCTGATCCCAGAGGGAACTGAGAAGATTAGAAGAGAGCAACGTTCAAAGACATATTTAATTATACATATTTAAAAGAGCCATCTTTGCCTCATAAACGTGCCCCCAGACAATTATAAAGCTGCCAGCAGAGTCCGAGGCTGTTTAATGTGAATTAAATATTTCTATGAATAGGGGCAGCAACATCTTTAAATTTGCTGGAAAAGGATGAAAGACACTTCCCAACCCATCTCAGAGATACTGTCTATTTCTCCAAGAGCAGGTTTCCTGCAAATAAATGATATGTGCATGAAGTATTAACACTTACATTCCTGCTCCCATATGTCCATATGAACATCTAAATGATGCTGTAGTCAGATGAAACCAAACCCAAAATCTTTGCCATCAACTCAAGTTGTGCTGAGAAAAACCCACTATGTCCACAGTCAAGCACAGAGGTGGAAACATGTGTTGGGGCTGTTTTTATGCTAATGGTAGAGAACAACGTCACTGCGTTGAGGGCCAATGGATGGATGGGGCCATGTACCCAAAAACCTTGAATGTTCAGCCAGGTCACTGGAGATGAGGATGAGTTCTCCAGTGACATCTGACCAAGGACACTAACAAGTGGCTAAGGAAGAAGAACATTATAGTCATTGTAATATAAGGAGCCAGTACACTCAGCATTGCAGATTAGTGAATGTTTATTAGCACAGTGCTCCTCCCTCTGTCCTCCCAGCGTGCTGCTTAAACAGAGAAGGCAGCATTAGAGTGCTGACTGCCAGCTGTGTTAGCCAGTCTCCCCTGGCACCGCCCCCTGAACCCACGGCGCCATAGCCCGGCCAATCTCCAGACCTCAAGTCTATATAAAATCTTTAGAGGGAGTTGAACCTTCATTTGCCAAGCAGCAGCCAAGCAGCCTCTAAAGAAAATATTCAGAGTTTCTGTAAAGCACCATCCCTCCTGAGATGTGTTCATAAATACTGACTGCTGAGATTATGGTGCGAGCTGTCAGTGAGGAAATGTTCAGCTATAAACAGCACATTCAGTTTTTCATAAACTGCACATGTCAGCACTGTACAAAATCCCAATACTCAATATTAAATAACATATACAGTTTGCAAACTGTTTGTTTGTTTTTTACAAAGTCCAACATTCTTTGGATTTATGGTTGGTTCTACAGATGACTGAGAGTTTAATTCAATATAGTAAATAAACTGTTGTGTTTTACTAAGCTTTTACTTGGGCAAAGGTTCAGTGCTAGAACTATTAGAAAGCTCAGTGGCACACTGTCCTTACATCACACATTACACTGAATCTCTTGTGGGAAAACAAAAGGTTTATTTATGTCTTTGTGTTTTTATTTTTTCAGAGGAAGATGAAATGTTGTCCGTGCGACTCCAGGAACCCAAACAGTCAGCTGGCCCACACTGTCCAGGATGTTGTGTCCACCTCAGGGCCAGACAGATGGTGGCAGTCCAAGAAAGGTGGGGGATGAAAGCAAGCAATCATAAAGGACTAATGCATAATACAACTAATACACTATACTGACAAAAGTACTAATCTGCCTTCACATGCGCGTGAACTTGAGTGTTGACCCATTCTTAATAAATAGGCCAGTCAAGATCCTCTGCACCAACCCAGCTCGTTCGTGTCTTTATGAGCAGTCATGATGGCGAAGGAACGGGCCATCCCCGAAGTGTTCCCTCAAAGTTGGGAGCGTTGCCAGATGCAGAAGCGTGACTTGTCACTGCAGAGAACACTTCCAGTGGTGGCGTGCTTGACACCACTGCACCCAACACTTTCTATGGTGCTCAGTGATGCCAGGCCTGGATGCAACTGCTCAGCCATGGAAACCATTAAGCTCTCTATGCTCTCTTGAGCTAATGTGAAGGCTACGTGAAGTTTGGAGGTCTGCAGCAATTTGGCAACCTCTGTGCACGATACTCCTCATGATTCACTTCCCCCACTCTGTGATTTTACGTGGTCTACACTGAGTGGTAATATAAGAGAAACCACAAACAGTTGAGTGTGGAAAGGAAATTTCATGTGTGGACTTGTTCTACAAGTAGCATACATCCCGGTATTGTGCTGGAATTCACTGAGCTCCTGAACACAACCAAATGTTTGTAGAGTGATCTCCATTACTAAGGGCTTGATTGCATCTTGATTGCCACTTCCATGACCAATGTGCACCTTGTGGCCATCGAAGTGATTGAAACACTTGAATATCAGGTGGCTGTAGTTGGCTGTTGCTCAGGAGATACTCTACTAACTGCTCATCTACTAATCGGAGGGTTGGTGGTTCCATCCCTGGCTGCTCCAGTCTGCGTGCCAAATAAACGTGGGCAAGATTCCAAGCTGCTCTGCATCTATTGACAGAAACAGTTCAGAAAAGGGTTACTCCTGGTAGGCTTTAATCAGGCTCCACCAGAGCACTTTGCTCTCAGACTTACTCGTGGTTACCAGGTTATTTATGAATACAATGGGAGACAGACCCCACAGCTTTCAGGCCTGTCTTCTTTGGAAGCAGTGACCAGTTTCTATTTTTAAGATTAGGCTTAAACCTTTCCTTTTTTTGTTTTCACAGAGTTAGGGTTGGATCAGGTGACCCTGCCCTCTGAATCTCTCTTTTTCTACTTCATCTAAACACTCAAAGCGCTTTACACAACTTATCTCATTCACATTGTTTTAACAGTTTCTTTCTGTTAAAAGGGAGTTTTTTCTTTCCACTGTTACCATGTGTTTGCTCATAGGGGGTCATCTTGGTGCTATAGAGTGAAAGTGCGTTATATTTAAATTGAAAACTATGTCCCCTATTAACAAGAAATAAGGAACGTCAAGTTCAGTCATGACGCCTACTGTAGTTGCTGTTGACTGGCAGGGCCCATGATCCCTGTACAGGACCCACTTTGGGGCGTTCCAGTTCATACCCTGTCAAGTGCCCACCCGTCTCCACCTCTCCCCCTGGATATCCAATCACATAAGATCCACCAATATTTAGCCACACCCTATCATCCAGTAACATAGTGTACGCTGTTAAGTGCAGGAGGATTGCCAGGATGTATACATCGGGGAAACCAAACAACCTCTAATGAAGCGGATGGCACAACGCAGAAGAGCTACCTCGTCAGGCCAGGACTCTGCAGTCTATTCACAGCTACAGGCCAGTGGACACTCTTTCAATGATGAGGATGTAACATCCTGGACAGGGAGGAATGCTGGTTTGAGGGCGGAGTCAAGGAGGCCATTTACGTGAAAAGGGAAAGACCATCTCTGATTGGAGGAGGGGCCTAAGGGTCCATCTGTCACCATCTTACATGCTGTGATTGCAGCCATTCCCCAACTCTCTGTGAATGGGACTCATGGTTAATGGTTATTATATTATATGGCGTTTTTCTACTTCATCTACACACTCAAAGCGCCTTACACAACTTGCCTCATTCACATTATTTTTTATGCTCTTTCTGGGTAAGTATCTATCTAACATTTACATGCTCTGATGGATGCATCGGAGGGTTAAAATCTTGCCCATGCAGACTGGAACAGACTGGGATCGAACCCAAACTTCCAGTTGAGTAGGTGACTTGCTCCACCTCCTGAGCTAAGGGCTCTATGAATGGTACGGCATGTTAATGATAATGAAACTGACCTCACAGCCCATTGTCACTCACTGGTGCTAGTTTCTGCCATTATGCAAATGTCCTGTTTATAAGGGCGGGAAACCTGCAGCCAGCTCAGACTGAAGACGTCACCTGATGAGTTACAAAACGTTACTCGACCTGAAAACGCTGCGTCCAGGTGAACAGAATCAACTTTTTTGGAACTCCCTTACCTGGATGATTGAGCATAACAGGACAAAACGAGGTGAAAGAAGATGATTGGACTAGAGTAATGATGACAGTATTGGGACTGACAGTGGTAGTGATGTAAAGAACAGAAAGCAGGGAGACGACTGATTACAGATCTTTGTTATTGGGCTCACACATAAGCTACATTACTGCTCTGCTTTCTGTTCCTGCAGAGATGAGTCCAGTTACCCTTCAGCTCAACCTTAACAACCTGTTCCAGCTTGACAACCTGGTGCTCAACTTCAAGGTGTGACACAGTCTTTCTAGCTTAATGAATGCTCTAAGCATCCATGTGATTTGACTCAGTGTATGCTACTTTTCTGGGTTTTTCTCTGCAGGGCCCTCGTCCCAGTGCCTTGGTCATAGAGAGGACACTGGACAACGGCAAAACATGGCAGCCGACCCTCTACATGGCAACAGACTGTCAAAGAGCTTTTCCCAGCGTACCCACAAGAGTTCCTCTTGCCATGGACCAGACATACTGCTACACACTGCCCCCTACAGACACAAATCCATATAAAGATCACACAGTAAGGGAGAAATCGCTGTTAATTATTTCACCTTCATTTTGATGATGATGTTTCCTCTTCGTTTCTTTTTTATACATTTACATAGAAGTACATCCTTAAATACATCATTTAGTGCTGAAACAGAACAGAAACATTTCTGTTTCTTATTTTTATTCATTTATATTTAAAATGCATAGATCTTATTTTTATATTTGATTCATCCTTTATAAATAGACAAATCCATACCAGACTGTTTGAATCTTTCTGAGTGGGAATGGCATCAACAAAAGGTTTCTAATAATGTAATGCAGTATTGTAAGATTTTCTATCTGTGTACAGAATTAATATTTATGCATTTCACTTCCCCAGATTGAGTACAGTCCTTTACGTCAATACGCTTACGTCGCCGCTCCCAAAAGCCAGATGATTGAAGGTAAGTTAACAGTTCCACGGATCAACACTGGCCTCTGCATCCAGTTTAAGTGTTAGTTCAGTGACTCATAACTATTTTGTCTACAGATGTGTCTGGGTTAACAGGGCTGAGGGTGAGATTCACAGAGCTGGGGGATGTGCCTCATCTGCCAGGCAGGAGTCTCAGTAGGTTTTACGCCCTGAAAGAGATGAAGGTGATGGGCAGCTGTATGTGCCATGGACATGCTAACCGATGTCTGCCACAAGAATACAGCAGCAACCTTCTGCCCAGCACTATACAGGTCTGTATGCAGGGCCTTTTACCCTTTCATGGTCCCAGGTAGTCATTCGAACGGTTTACAGTAAGTAAATAAAGTCAGATCACTTTATTTAGTCCTACTGTAAGCTCCTAATGGTTACTCTGTTATGTCAGGATGCCATTGTGTTGTATGATAGAAGCAGGTTCTTTTGCACATCAGCAACACATCAACCAAAATGATTACAGTAAAAAGCCTCTAAACAATTTTAATATTACAGAGACGTTTTTGCTTTAACTGTGTCACTGGAAATCCATCCATCCACTTCCTCGACCAGCTCAGCTAACCTGACATCCATCAGCACGTCTGCAGGGAAATAAAAAATGTTTCGATGACGCCACACTTTTGGAGACCTTATTTCCTTCTCGTGGTTTTCCTTGGTGTGGTTTTTCATATGTTATGTGGAGATTGTTTCCCCGTGGACGGATGTGAGGATTCCTGATCGTACTTTGGCTTGTGGTGATGTGTGCATGTAGTGATCATTTAAGTATTTGGGTGTGCTTGTGAAAATAGACGTTTATCGACCATCAGCTTATTCCAGTTTGTTGATCTGCTCATTGGTCTTGGCAGGTGAACGCACAGTGTGACTGCCAGCATAACACAGCAGGTGTGAACTGTGAGCGCTGTGCTGATCTCTACAACGATGTGCCCTGGAGACCTGCAGAGGAAGGCTACACTCATGCCTGCAAACGTAGGACCTGCTACACACTCTTTAATCTAAACTCTGTGTGTGTGTGTGTGTGTGTGTGTGTGTGTGTAGGTGTGTGTGTGTGTGTGTGTGTGTGTGTGTCCCGCTCGATGTAATCTCTCTTTAATCTCTAGCTGTAATCACTTGTGAGATGTATTTAAAGGTAAATAATAAGAATGTGTGTATACTGGCTCACCATAGACCAAAGCCCAGCTTATGAAAAAGTTTAGATAAAGTTATTAATCCCTAAATTTCTTCATTTAATTATCTGGGTATGTCTTGTCCTCAGGTTGTGAGTGTAACAACCACGCACAGCGCTGCCGGTTTGACTGGGCGCTGTATGAGGCCAGTGGACAGAGGAGTGGAGGTGTGTGTGAAAGTTGTATGCACCACACCACGGGGCCAAAGTGTGACCAGTGCGCTCCAGGATACCAGCCGAACCCCCGCAGTCGAATGGATCGTCCTGACGCCTGCATACGTAAGTCCTCACATTTCTGTGCACTTCTGACTGCAGCTCACGCTGAACGTTTGTGGATAAACCGTGTTGATGTATTTGGCGCCAGGCTGCGTCTGCAGTGCCGAGGGGACAGCGAACGGCGGCCGGTGTGATGACAGCACAGGATCCTGTCAATGCAAAGTGAACGTAGAGGGTCCCCGCTGTGACCGCTGCAGGACAGGATACTACGGTCTGAGCTCCTCCAACCCGCTGGGCTGCACTAGTGAGTCACACATTGAAGCTTAGCTTGGTGCTGCAGTAAACATGGAATCTTTGCTTTTGCTGAAACTAATTAAAAGCCTGTAAACTATTAACTTTCACTGATGTTCATATAGTACTTTATATCAATACTGTAAGAATACAGATGTTAATATCATTTAGTTTAATGTTTGAAGCATGCAGATCTCCATCAGACTTTGCTCTTTTCTAGAGTGTTCCTGTTCTCCACACGGCTCCCTTTCAGACGTCTGTGATCCATTGACTGGCCAGTGTCTCTGTCGTCCCCACTTCCACGGCATTACCTGCAAC